CTCAGTCTCAACTATGGGCTTCAGTATGTTGAGATCCAACGTACTCCGATTGCGTCAACCTTAATCTCTGAACCCGTCTCCGGTTCGTTTTTCACTTGGCTGGAATGTCCCATGTCACAGTGATATGACCTTTTTCAGGTGAAAAACCTTCAGCTAGCAGCGAATCCCACAGGTGAGCAACAAGGAGGGGGTACTGCAAAGGAACTCTGTAGATAAGGAGCTGTCGAAGCAGTCTCCTTGAAGGAAAGATTGAAGCTCTGCGAACCCAGGTACCCTACTAATGCACTTGTTCATCACAACATGCACAGGTGCCCACCGTGGGCATCGCTGAGCGATTAGCTTTGTGTACGTTCGTTCACAACGCTATCCCATATGAGGATAGTAGCGATCTAGCCCCCTAGGCGGTCCATCGTTCAACGGGCGATGCCTGCACTCTTTACGATGATCGTCTTGGTCGAGAAGAGGTATGTCAGTGGCTTGGTTCTGGGTTGGAGTTTGATGACCTTACAGAGAGCCTTCAGAGGATCTCAGATTACTATCGAGCCCAATACGGTAAGTCGGTTGAGTCGTTGAGGCGATTGTGGTTGGCTAGGAAGGCTGAAAATCGTCGACGACTAGCAAATCGGCGCCGCCGATCTGCTAGTCGTCGCCGATTCGGCGGGATCCTGCAGGTGACATTCCGGTGGCGGTGAATGATATAGTCCATCGCCGGAATTACGGGGTCGATAAATTACCCGATTTGTACACAGTTCCATATCGAGTGGAGGCGGTGAGAGGTTCGACTTGCTTGCGGTCCGCAAGTTGCGGAATCCGCAACGCGGATGGATCGGTTACTATGGCAGCAGTTAACCAGTTGAAGCGAGGTTGCCGTAGGGAGAAGATTGATGAGGTTGATGAGGAGCCTAAACAGTCCACCACGGCAGTGCAGACAGACCCGAAGCAGACGGGAGATTGGGGATCCGTAAAGATTGACAGAAAGGATCTACGCCGTAACGGCGAGATCGGCACGTAGACGACGTTCTGGCCAGCGTTTCTATGAAAAACCAAGCGTGAAATGTCAAACATGCCTGAACTAGCACAAACTTCTTACAAGAAGAGACAGCTGAACTGCATTGCATGCATGCAGTGTGTGAGTTAGACTACGATAAATCATCGTATTTTGTTTGCATTATACACCATAGCACGATGCTGCCGTCATATGATATGGCTCGTATCGTTGCGTTAACATACCAACTCAGTAGTGATTGTTGGGTGCAGTTACTTAGGGGTTACTCGGGATATACTGCACGTATATCTCGCGTCGTATTCAAATCTTTTCACCACCTAGATTTGGTTCTGGCTCAGATTATCATTCGATTGTTCACTATGAGTAAGTTATATCTCTCTTTATCTTACCCCCGAATCACTAACTGAACGCAACAATATTTCACTGTCTGGGCACGATGACTTGACACGAGTAATAGTATACGAGGCTGCAGGGTGCAATCCTGTAAATCCCCGGATATGGAGTGACTCGTTAGCTGGATATGATTGCTGTTAACCATCTATTGCATCGCAGTGTGTTCAAGTCAAGTTTGAGACGAGGCAGAATAGTACGAGATGTCATCAAGATAGCTCGATGAGGCTTCAGAGAAGTCTGTCTCATGAGGCATTCCTGCTTGGACCGATTGAGAAGCATCTGACGTGGAGCGAGCGTTGTGTGTAGTTGATGAGCTCTCCACAGATTCTGCATCTGAGAACCAATCGTTCGCTGCCGAGTCACTGTTATTCCTTAAATCGCTCGTTTCTGAGTTGCTAGTGTAATTTGAGACGCTTGCTATCGCGAAGACATCGTTCGTGAGAACTGCCTTGTTGATGAGTGCCTGGAGAAATGACAACCCTGGTCATCTCAATAACTCCGACACTTGCTTGGGTTACTGCTCAGCGCTCTCATCACGCCTTCATTCCTCGGCATGGTTCTAGGGCCGCGGAAAATATCTGCGTCAACACTTGCGTAGCTGCCATGTTCGCATTCCGCCGTTAGACGAACATCATAATCACGATCAGACATTGACCTATACCCATATCATATGTCTTTTCAATACCTCTGCTTAGTCCCCCTGAGAATTTCGACCGCGTATCCATGAGCGCAGCATCCCCAATCTCGGGAATGTTTGCAGGTGCATGTGACCTTCGGGGATCCTCTTTGAGTTGAAGTTACTAGATGGAGGCGGAAGTACTTTTCCAGTACGTCATCTAGTGGTGTGGGGGCTCTGAAAGTCGAGGATGAGAATAGGGATATCAAATTTGAAAGTTTCTCCGCAGGAATTGCACGAAGAGTGTACCTTCGTCGAAATCAGATGCTAAAACTCCTCTTAAATAAGTCGCCATATCAGGATGAGTCGAGCGATGTAGCTCGACTGGCACAAATCTGCTTGTTTCGACAAGGATATAGTGGTTTGTTGTTGGTAAGCGTCGTAGCTGCGGAGCTTCTCTTGTAACCTGTGTGGGTAATGGGACGCGTTGCGTTATTAGCTGTGATTCTCGAAAAACTAGTAGCACCAGCTATGCTCACCTCCACAATCTTATCCTGATCGAAAAGTGTTGTACCCCGTTCCATCATTCGATCCTGATATTCTATGAGATTGATAGTGTCGGGCC